GCCTCTCTGCCTACTTGTGATCTGTCAGATAAATAAATAAATTTTTAAAAAATCTTAAAAAAGAGAAGAGAGAAAAGAAAAAAGAAGAGAGAACTGGATTTTTTTTTTTTTAAACATCTTTCCTTAAAAACTATGAAGGCCTGGAAAAAGGTCTGCCCAGGGCCACAGGTGGCTGCAGTGAGGAGAGCTGAGGGGGTGTTTTCCTTAGGGTCTGCTCTCCCCAGCCTGCTCTGTCCACACCCAGCCTCTGCATTTCCCACCTAGACCCTGCCTGCATTTGGGTTTATGACAACGCTTACAGAGAGCTGAGGCCTGTCCAGGACACCCAGTAAAAGGCTGGGCCAAGGCCTCCCTAGGTGTCCCCATCCTCAAGAACTCACTCTGGGGCAGAGCCCGAGCCCTCCGCTAGCTGAGCTGGCTTCAGCACTGATGATAGTTGTTCAAAACCCTCGGGGTTCTGTAGCCCCAAAATGGGCTGATCTGAATACCCAAGGGGCAGCCCTCAGCCACCTGCGCACGTATCAGGACCCCTTGGCCAGGGCCCGGCCTCCCTGTGTCCTGAATATGTCAAACCCAGGGTGGGCCTCAGGCCTGGCAATCCTCGTGTTCCAGGAAATCTGGAGAGCGGTGTGGATTTGGTACATGTGGACTGAGTTTGCCTAAAGCCAGGTGCAACAGATTCGAATGGTTACAAACTACAGGGGTGGGAGGCTCTCCATCAGTGCCCCCAGATGCCTGCTGACCTCTCTGGCTACCAGGAGCTGCTCTAGGTGCTGTGGGAGCAGCGGGACAGACGAGACAGACTCAGTCCCTGCCATGGCCTCCAGCGGCTCTAGGAGCAGCCCCCATGCTGCCCACAGCAGCCCGGGGTAGGCACAAACATGCCTTGGGCCTTGGTCTCTAAACTTATAAAATAAAGGTTGCTTTGATGGCAAAAGTTTCTGCTAGACCTGGGGTTCTAGAATCACCAAGAATTTTTACTCTGGATCTCGGTCTGCCTGTTCCTGGACAGCCCCAGAATCAGTAGGGTATGGGAGGTACAGGCGCCTCCCAGAGGCCCACAAGGCCTCAGCACCCCCCCACCCCAGCCTTCTACCTGCAATTCCGCCCACGCCCACAGCTGGGGGGCACAGGAAACTCCAGATGAGCAGCTGGGAGGCACTACCATGAATCACAATGTTGTCCCTGAGGGCAGGGCCCCAAGGGCAGCTAGCTCCCTTTCCTGCATCCACAGAGCCTATAGTCTGTAACTCCCAGCTTTAGACAAGTCACCAGGACATCCCTCTAGCAGAAAATAAAGGCACAACGAACAAGAGTGGGTTCATGTCACTTACAGAATTTTGGGCACCTAGGAGCATCCTGACACCTGGGAAGGTGAGCTTCTCAAGACACAGCTCCCGTCACAAGCAACACAGACATAAAACAAAGCCAGCACTCCTCACCATGGCCTACAAAGTTATGTCCAATGCAAGCCCTCTAATCCCATACCCTCTCCCCAGAGCTCACGGTTCTCTAGCCTCACCAGCCTATAATCTGACCCTTAGATATGCCAAATTCTCCCCCACCACAGGGCCTTTGCACTTGCCATTCCCTCTGTGGGGAATGCTCTTCCTTCAGCCCATCACCAGGCCGGCTCCTCCATGTCCTTCAGCCCTCTTACTTCCAAGGTGCCCCTCTCAAGTAGAGCTCTCCCACTCCCTCTTTCCCACCCCAGACCTTCTTCAGGGCACTTTATCATTATCTGACGTCTGCTTATCCACTGCTGCCTTGTTCATGGCTCCTAGCTACACGATAGAAGCTCTTTAAGGAGCTTGGCTAAGGTCGTAACCTGGCTGCTTCATGGCCAAGGGATCAGGCTCCAAGATCAGGAAGAAGCCTGCTCAAACCTTGGCTTTACCATCCATCAGCTGTGTGACATGAGGGAGGCCACTTAACTTCTCTGACCTCAGCTTCCACACCTGGAAAATGGGACGAATATCAGCAGCTACCTGCTAGGCACAGGGTGACAATGAAGATAATCCCAAGACACTCTGGGGCCAGAACCAGCCCACCCCTCCTGTTCTCCAGAGTCAGAATTATCTCTGATTTTCATTTTCTCTTGGGCAACGCGGCTGTCACGAGACCTCACCTTCCTACCTCATTCAGCTGCTACAGAGGCGTTGGCGGGGATCTTGATCTTTACCTCCATGAGCCTGGAGATCTCCTGGTGAAGATCAAATACGACGCAAAGCCCCACACACATATGCAGGGCTTATCATCATTATCACACAGAAATTACAATTATTCACTCCCTCCTCTGTGCTCCCAGAGTGCCGCTACCACAGCATTTAACTGAAGTAATTACTGCTGCGGGAGGGCTGTTGACTCACACGGCTGTGCCAGGACAACGGGGCCGCTTCGGGACAGCCCAAGCCACTGCAGGGCCAGCACCCTAGTCCTGGGCCCTGCCCCCGCCTCCCAGCAAGGCAAGGGCTGGGGCCTGCCGCTTATGTCAGAGGTAGGGTAAGGTCCTGTGGCCTCTGCGATCCATTGTCCTCTGCACGCCCTGGGGTCTTTCTGAAGGATGACGCTGAGGAGGGCCGGGTGGCCCCAGCTCCTGGCTCTGCTTCCGATCCTCCCTGGGGCTTCTCGGGAAACCCATGCTGTGGTGGGCTAGTAAATCGTTCTCCGATGCGTGTGACAGGTTCGGTTACTGACGGGTCACTTAAGGTTTCTGTGCAATGGCACTTGGTGGGGACTGTCGGGTTGTCCCAAAGCTGCCCTTGTACAGCATTTCACGGAACATTTTGAAGGTCAAGTATCCATTTAGAAAGATGGGGAGGGCATCCGGTGGAGAGGACAGAAGCAAGGGTCCCGACAGGTCCCTTCAAGAGTCCAGAAGTGGCCCAGCCAACACATCACAGCTCCAGGCTACTCCGAGAGAGAGTCCAACTCCAGGGCCCAAGGGTCCCAGGTGCTAAGGTGGGAAGTCAGGACAGAGGAGCTGGTCTAGAAGACCTGTCGCCCTTCCTGGTCTCCAGGGCCCAGAATTTGCTCTTGAATATAAGGTGGAAAATCCTACTTCTGGTGCACAGGACCTTGAAGTCATTCCAAGATTTACCTTTTCCATGAGAGAAGAGCTCCCTGCCTTCTCACAGCCAATCCCAAGAACATCGTAACATTGTTCCTTATCTTCTAAGAGGCCCAGAGCACGCCCAGATGATTAGTTCTTTAAAATACAGGCTTCCGAGGCAGAAAGCCTGGTGAGGCTGGTGTGTGACCTACTCTCCAGAGCCTGAGAAACCACCCGAAGAAGGTCTGGGTCCATTCACACGAGAAATCAAGTCAATCCAGCGCCTCCCTCTCAGTGCCCCCTACCTGGTCAGACGCGGCGGCTCAGGCCTCTCTCTACTTCCCTGTCCAAGGGGGGGTCAAGGGAAATGGCCAGCACCTTGCAGTGCTTCCTCTCCCACTCCAGAAGTACAGAGCATGGAAAGTTCCAGAAGAAGCTGGTGCACAGGCTCACCCCGCACCCCCCCAACCCCGGGGAAAGCCAGCCTCGCCCGTCTGCCTGACCTGAGGCCCTTGGCAGTGATGCTCCACGGGGCTCGCAGAAACTGTGAGCATCCACGCGGCAGAATTCCTACCATCAATGTAGCAGCTAAATATTGTAAGACTCCTAACTCCCCCATCTGTGTTTTGCCTCCCAAGAGGGAAAATAGTCTTCACAGACATTCCCTTATCTGGCAGGCAAATTCTAAACCTTACTGGCAATCACAGGCTTGTTTTCCCAACCAAACAGCTATGGAACCAAAAATTGCTCTGCCTGTGATATGCTGAGGAGGGAACTAGCCAAACAGCTCAGTCTGGAAGCCCAGGGCCGGGAAGCCCTTGGGCTTCTCCATCTCTGCAGAAGGCCCCGTGCTCCGCAGACGTCCCCGCTGCCAGGAGAGGCCTGCCTGGCCGTTGAAGGAAGCCACAGCGGCTGGTGTTCACGGCTCCTTGTTCTTCACATGGAACACACCCACCAAGAAGCTGACGGAAAACACTCACCACGGTGTGAAATCAACACTTTCTAACTCAAATAAAGGGGGTTAAAAAAAAAGGGGGGGGGAAACTTCCAACCATTTTGCTGCAAATATTTTCTCCTACAAGATCATGCAAGGCAGGGGCACCATGGCGGCCTTGGGCCCTGCCACCGAGCACGCCTTGGCACCCCGCACCCTCACTTTCCAGCTTATGGTCTTTCCCTGCGTTCCACCTGGCCCTTCCCAGCCGTAATGCCGGAACCCTGTACCTGGGCGATGGCTAATAAACCGAATCTGATGATAACTGTAGGAGCCTAATTGATAGGGGCCTTTATCGACTGGCCTTGATGTCTATCTGAGGTTCTCAACAGCCAAGATTTAAATGTTTCATTTTATTTTTAACTTTCACTTTTCCACATTTCAGCAATGTCAGGCAAAGAGGTATGGTTTTACTATCAGAAAGAATCATGGTGCAGAATAATTTATGACTTTAGCTTGGGCTTTCAGAAAAGCTATTTCAAATCTTCACTTTGATTTGGTTGTATCAAAACTACTCAAAATAACAGCGGGCCCTTTCTCGGAACCAGAATATGTTAGCGGCACCTCAGGATTGTGAACTGAAACCTCAGATTCATCCCAGAAGAAAACTTGAGAAGGGAATTAAGCCACCGAGGGGAAAATCACCTTTTTTCCCTGATTCCTTTGTTCCCCCTCCCAACCCATCCCCAGACACGCCCAAACCACAAAGGAAGGTCTCCCCGCAACCCCCTGGGGAAAAGTCCCACCAGCCAACACTCCCCCAGAGCTTCCCAGCAGGTGGACTGATCCTACCTCCAGGGTGGTGGGGGGACAGGGAGAGAGCTGGGAGGAATCCCCGGGCCAAGAGGAGAAAGCGAAGGGCCCTTTGGCTGGGATCTGTGTTAGGTCAACTCGACAAAGCAGGAGGAAATGATGTGTGTCCAGGGCAAAGAGTTCTAATATCGTAAGACTTACCTTAGCAGCTTAACTGCATACTTGTCTTAAGGACTGTCAGTCTGGTAACAAAATACCCCAGAAAGGATGTAGCTGATCCAGGCACTGACAGATCGCCAGAGGGGCGTCCCGGTTCCCTATCACAAAAGGAAATAGAGAAAGAAACGATGTAAAGTGAAATGTAACAAATTCACCAAATCAGAGCAATATGCAGAGGTCAAGGAAATTCAACTGAAAAGGTTAAAGATGAAATCAAATCCGGTGTAGGAGAATGAAAATCTATCCCAAAGCAAGGCCACCGGTGACGTGCTGTAGACAAGAAGCTAAATACTGCGTAGCACTGGGATCTTTCATTTTCATCAGATCAATAAAAGCTTATATTTATCAGGATTCCAAGCAGCTGCCACTTCTGACAACCTCCACTTTATTTTCCCACTCCTTGTGCTGTATCAGGGCAAGGAGGAGAGGAGAAGCAGCTTTTAATGCTATTTACACCTGAAGACACAATTCCATTAAGAGGTCCTGTTTTGTTAAAGAAACAGGGATTGATATGATTATATTGGCAGGAGCGCGGGAAGCCCCTTTGTTCTTCCCCCCCCATGTTCTCCCCTTTGCAATCCAGACCGGAGCCCGAGCCCGAGCCCGCGCGGAGATTTCCTGACACCAAGTCTGTGTGTGAGCACTTTTTTGTTCAAACTTACCATTTACAAAGAGAGGCGAGGCTTTCTGCTAAAACAGTTACCACTCTAATCATCTGTACAACAATATTTGCTATCAGGCATTCTAAATAGATTATCACCAGTCCATCTGTGTCATTATTGATTTATAAGGCTTTAAGCAGCTTTAGAATGGAAGCTTTCCCACTGAAGGGTTTCTTGTATAAATCAGAGCCGTGCTCAAATATAGCAGCCATCACTCAAGATATTGTTCTTAAAATCATAACAAGAAGGAGAAAATGATAAATTGCTTGTAATATACTGATCCAAACTGATATGCAAATCTTGTTTTTTAAATATATTACTTGAGTAAAAAGAGGCATCATTAACATATGAATGCTATATGCAAATGATAGTGACAGAGCAGATGTTGGCGCATGTAATTGACCTATATGTGAATTGCATCAGAGCCTTAACTCTATTAATTCACTACCCAGTAACTAGATATTGTCCAAAAAGTACATTCTTTGAAACCATATACTGGAAGCAAAGCTGACAGGGTTCCAAGGATTCTGAAACAAGGTCACTGTCACTAGTATTTTGCTGTCATCTGCATTCCCCTTCTTATGGATGACATCATCACGGGGCCGTGTAAATCGATCACTTAATAGCATTTAGAAAATACTGCAGTGGGGAACAGGTTATAAAAAAAAAATGCCCCAGTTTTATTCTTTTTCTTGGCAGAAATGTCATACCTCTTAAACTGAGGGTTTGTGCATGAGTGCACTGTGAAACACACAGATGCCATTTTATTCCCCGTCTTTATTTTTCCACTTCTTCTCAGAATGACATTAAATTGTATTAAATAGCCTTTTGTCCACAGGGCACAGACCACCCCGCATATGATAATGTATTAATGCCCCACGTTCCAGCCACTGAGCTGAAACATTCTGAGACTTGGAGGATAAGTATGAAGCACCATTGTGTGTATAGCCTGCTAACAACTGTGACACATACTAATAGAAACATACCTAATAAATTACTGCTTTCAGGTCTAGCAAGCTGACATTTCTCTGCAAGGGACAATTTTATATTTGTGGCGCAGAACAAAATTGCTTCATATGAAGCCACTGTGGATTAGCATAAAAATTAACACTTAAATTTCGGCTTATTTTCCACCCTCTCCTCCTGCCACAACAATCAATTCCTCTTATAAATCTGATTAGATTTTATGATGCTTATTATTCAGAGCATGTCTCAACACAGCATTCACAGGCTTGAAGACTATTTGTTTAAATAGAAAAAAGAAGCAGATAAATCTATAGGTATTTTTTATTACCCCATTCCCCACCAGTTTCTTTCTCATATTGTAACATCAGTAATTGATTGCACACATTAATTAACATGTAAGGTAGAAATTCTGCATTATGCATGATTTATTTTCCTATCTGGTGAGTAGGTTTGTCTGCTGCCCTTGTGTTTCTAGGACATTGGGCTCGATTCTGGTCCAGACATAAATGCCAATGCTCATTCCCCCTGAAAGTTATTAATGTCAGATATGAAATGAGATTTTTTATTTCACCTGCTTACTAATCCACAAAAGCTGTTTTGAGTGATGCAGGCTTAAACGCCAAAATTTGAAATGATATATTGCTACATCTGATAACATGCAAATATGTTCATTAGACATAATTTAGCAGGAGAGAATAGCAACACTTTTATAACAAGTCTAGGTCAAAAATGGTTGTTAATTAAACAAGTCATGAAAAATGGCATTACAAGGAGACTGTCCAGCAGACACCAGACTTTCTAATGATATGCCGCTGGTAGGTACCCAACGCTTCCCACTAAAACGGAGAAAGGGGAAAAAAAAAAAAACCAACTTTCTGAGCATTTCACATAATCTAAAGCAAGGTTAACAAAACTATACCCACATTAGGAACCTCAAATTGATCACGTATTCTTCTTAGATTTTAATGGTAACACACTCTACTTCTCCATTTGAAGATGTGATTTCACTTTCTGTCTTAGTGGCTTAAAGTGATTGATATGGTTGACTCCTTCATGAATACAGCAGAAAAGAAATTAATATTATATCCGGCCATGCTTCTAGCTGCCCTGAGTGTTCATGGCTGTGTATGTTAAATCCAGAAGAGCGATAAGCATAGGATGATTGGTCGGTGAGGGCAGGGTTGGGGAAGGAGGTGGATGGAGGATGAAGGCAAGGCACAGGGGAACTGCGGGTCTGTGTCTCCCTTTTCTGGTAGTCCCTCCCAAGGGGACGCTTCGGTTACCTAGGGAACCAGGTTTAGCAAGAACTCTTTTGATTGGCCATGAGTTGAGATTCAGATGGGTGGGGCTCTGGTAAGTAGGTACTCCAGGCCACCTTGTGGTGAGCGGCTTGGCTTCTTGGATTGAGGCTTCCTGAGTACCTAGGGGAAGGACGGTACCTTGGGAGTGAAGTACCGTCTAACAGAAGGCCGGGGGAGTTTCCAACTAGCCACCCATGCCGCCTTCTGTGCCGCAAGGGAAGTAGTCATAGAGTGGCAAGGGCTGAAAACATCTTCTGGGACCAACAGATGACCCTCAACGGATACTACCCAAGCCCACATGGGTGAAGCCATCCATGAGTTGGTGTTCCACTTATCCAAAGGATCCTTGTAGCTGGACACTTGAAGCCCAGTCTGTAAAGCAGGGAAAACACCTCTACACGTCTGGAGTCATGCACAGTAAGGGAAGTTGAGTGGGAGAGCGAATAACAAATTCAGCAAACCGAAAGTAGTCCACATCTAAGCCACTGGAACAATCGTATTCATGACACCAACTCAGGCACAAAAGTTATGCCTAACCTCACCCATTTGGTGGGGGCAGGTCCATCCCCAAATACTTCATGTCCAAGTGTAAAATACTCTCGCTCTCAGCCTGGCTTGCAGACAAAATGACTACTACTGCTAGAAATCTCACCTCATCTCTGCATTGCATTTTATGGTTTCTGTGCTTCTCAATAAAGAATCTCAACTAGTGAACCAGGCACCATGGCATTCATCTCCCCCATCTTTCATTGATAATGTGATATTCTACAAAAGAAAATAGATGGAAACTTGGTGGAGGAAGAAAAGGAAATGCTCATTCTACAGGACACTTTGGTATCTTTTTTATCCCACGGAGCCCTTCCTTACATCCACTACCCACTCCGCATATGCCCCTCGTGAGTTTATCTGGACAGACAGCCCCTCCTGTCCTCCCTGTCACACTGCAGTTCTGGTTCCTGGACATGACTGTCCGTTGCTTCCCCCCTGGGGGATTCTGACAGGTCTCACATTCTAGGAGGAGGCCAAGGATGGGTAAGGGGCACAAGACTTGTTGAGGAAGTCCAGGGGGGACCCTATAAATTCTCAGGCAGTAGGGAAGCCCTGGGATGGAAGATCTCAAAGACCCCAGCACAAAAGTGGTATTTGGATACCCCAGTCACGGTCGACAGGTTTAATGGTGTGCCTCAGGGGCCAATGATTCCTTCTTGGGGGCCCCTGGTACTATGTACCCGACTTCACGTGCCTCCATATCCGATGATGAGGGAGATAGCCAGGGTCAACCCGGGGTCACGGTTAAACTATCCCACATTTCCCCAAAGCCTTGAATTCATTTCAAAGTGTTTCATCTGTTGAATGAATGAACTAATGCATACATGAACAGATAGGAGAAGAAGTGAATGAATGCGGAAAGGCACGTATAAATGGGTGGATGGAGAGATAAGAACTGAAAGAGTTTTTTAAAAGCAATAAATGCATGAATTAATGTGTAAATGCAAAAATGCATATGTAGAGGAAAAGTGCTTCAGGAATGGATGAAAGAAAACCACTGGTATCTTTTTCACAAGCAGGTATCCACACAGTTCTCCTGCAGGCCCGCCCAGGGGGCTGATGGACAACATAAGAGAAGAAAGAGTAAGCAAGGTCTTCTTTGTCATGGGGTTTGGTCGCCCATCCTTGGCTTCCTTCCCACCTCTTAAGATAAGCTTATGGGCCAGCCAGTAGGATTCTGCACAAACTCTCCCAGGCTCATGAAGGAGATGGATATTCCCGCCCCCTGGCTGAACCTGGAGGATGACAGAGGTCGGTGAGCTGGGTCTGACCATGACAGCTGGCCCGGCGCAATCCTGCACCTGCTGGACACTGACAGAATCTTCCCGAGAGGCAGGAGCCACAGCCGTCAGGGTCACACACCCTCGCCCAGTGCCCAGTACATGCCGGCACTGGAAGGACGAACCACACATCACCCGCACCTCGATGTATCCACCTAACGAATGGGGACAACGCATCCAAAAGAGTGTCTGGCGCCAATGACTGCTCAACAACCATCCATCATCGTCCGAACTGCTGAGCAGTTCTGCCCTGTGGGTTCTGGGTCCCCTGCTTGTGGAGGGTTTGCTCCCAGGTGGACATCCAGCTCTACCAAATGCATCGGCAGCCAGGCTCTCCAAA